GAGTGGGGCCCCAAATCAAAACCTACTGCTGGCTCTCTTCCCCAGAGCTCTCCCAGTCCCCTAACTTGTAGGGTGTATCACACTCTGTGTAACTGAACTTCCCTTTTGTGGGGTTTAGATTACAGGCTCCTAGAGGCCAAGGCAGGAGTCCTGGTGTGGCGCTATGGGTTAATGCGCCAGACTGCAAAGCCGTTTGAACTGCAAAGTTGGTTCAAGCTCACCAGGTGCTCCTCGGAAACCCTATACAGGGTTGCTATGGGTTGGAACCTACTCAATGGTACTTAACAACAACAACAACAGAGGCCAGGGAGAGCATGAGATCCTCAGTAGCAGCCCCCAGAAAAGCTCTGAACGGGCTCCAATGACACCCTGGACAGCAGCTGGCTCAGAGGTTAATCTGCATCTGTTGATTAATGTATTGGCTAAAGCGAACCGCCCCAAACGCTGTCTCAGGCACCTTCTGCACTGCATTTGCTTTTGTGCTTGAAAGTTGTTGTGAGGTACAGTGCACCCCAAAAGGACATGTGAAAGCCATGCCTCTGAATTTATGAATGTCACCTGTTTGGAAATCGGGTCTTTGAAGATGTTTCTCAGTTCACAGGAGGTCCCACTGGAGTAGGTTGGGGCCCAATCCCATCTGAATGGTGTTCTTGTAAAGAGATAGATACAGACAGAGAGAGGGAAGTGCCATGTGGAGACACACCTCTGAGGAACACCTGGGTCCTCCTCCAGAGCCTCCGGAGAGGGCAGGGCTGACCAGTGCCCTAACTTCAGACTCCCGGCCTCCAGAGCTGAGAGACCATACACTCTGCCCTTGCAACATTCCCAGGAAACATATGCAGAAGTGACCGAGATGTCTTTAAAAACACTCTAGGGTCAGTTACTTTCTGGATTGGAGATAAGTCTTTCCATGTGGTGGGCTCAAGCTCTAAGAAACCCCTCACCACAGTCTCGAACTCAAGACCTCCCAGACAAATGACAGGCTGTCCTGGGCCTCCTGCTGAGTTTCTGTAAAGAGGAATTTGAATATTTGAATTCTATAGGTTTCTAACAAATCTGCGATTCCTGGTGTGGCGCTGTGGGTTAATGTGCTCAGCTGCAATGAACTGCAAGGTGGGCAGTTCAAGCTCACCACTCCTCAGAAACCCAAACAGGGTCGCTATGGGCCGGAACCGACTCGACGGCACTTCACAACAACAACCATCTGTGAACCCATCAGTCAGTGAATGTTCTTCTATTACTCTGCAGACATGGAGGACTCACGTAGTTCCTCCGGAGGGCGATGAGATGAGGTGGTTAAAACATTTTTATAACCACAGAGTCAGTTCACTTTAAGTTATTTGGTGAGAATTAGAAATCAAGCAAGGTCAGCAGGAGGCTTCTGTGGAAATCACCACTCTCTGGGTGTTGACACCTTTCAGTAAATTTCCATGAGATTCTCCTAGGATTCAAACAATAGACAAATCTTCCGGCCTCCCCTAAGAAGGTTTACCGAATTGGACACTCTCGGCTTCTCCTAGACACATAAAATGCTCCAGCCCACAATGACCAAGGTTATGGCTTGCAAGTGGTCACTTCTGTCAGGGACACTTCAGCTCAACACTTGCTCCTCACCCATTAGTAGAGTGGATGGTCCTTAGTGAGGGGAGGACTCTGTGGTTCTGTCCACCCTGACTGGTCACTGTGCGGTCACAGCCTGGGTCTCAGATGTGAGCAGAGGGAGGGCAACCAGGGGCCAGGTCCTGCACTTAAACATCTGGTCCCAGGGCTCCCCCCAACCCCAGGAGACTGGAACAAGACCCCCACCCCTGCTCCCTCTACTATGACTCAGATGAGCTGCCCACCAAATGCCCTGCAGTGGGCACCGCTGTAACAGCAGCGGTTTCAAAGGCAGCTCTGGATGCAGTCCAGTGGCCCAGCCCACAGAACACAGGCCCCATAGTGTCCCCGTGGTCTTGGTTTCAAATGTCCTTTTCGGTGGCTTTCAGCACACTCTCATCCTAGTAACACGGAGAGCTGTTTGCATGGTGAAAGACCAGCTGTACTGCAAGAAGCGTGTCCCTACAGCTGAGTCTTTAGACAACTCTGGCCACTCATTCAAACTGCGCCTTGGCCTCAGGCTCCCTGTCAGTGAACACAGGGTTCACATACACCCTCTCCCAGGCATGCCCTCAGGGATGAGGCCAGCTCTGAGGGCACCACTTTATCAGCCAGAGGAAGCAGAATGACTGCCCGCTCATTCCCACCTGGGCAGCACGAAGAACACAGGTTGGTGCAGCATATCTGGGCTCTGAATGGAGCCACCCCCAGAGTGTCCACCCCCCAACACTCCTCTGTGAAATGAGGTCACAGTCTTGCCTGGGGTGCCCACTCCTTTGAAATCCATAACAATGCTGGACTGTTAGGACCAACCCATGAACAGGCCCTCTCAGGGACCAGGCCCAGATGGAGGGGAGGAGGGTCAACAGGCCAGCAAGGTGGGTTCTTCAGCATACCGCAGCCCAGTCACCCCTTCTCCTCTCCTCTCCTGGGTGGGCTGACCCAGAGACCCAGTTTGGTCACAATACACTCAGATCTATGGGAAGTAGGCTGTGATATGGAGCCACCAAGCCACCCAGATTTGGGTGAGCAGGCACCTGGGTGAGGCCTCCATGTTTTACTCACTCTTGGTCTAGTTATGGGCTGTGGCAGGGATACTTCTGGGCTTTCCTCAAAAGCCCTAAGTTCAGGGGAACAAGATAAGCACGGGCATGACTCACCCTTTTGCAAGTCAGGTTTTGGAAGCAAAACAGCGGGTTGAACACTGTCCCGATTCAGAGCAATCCCAGCAACAGGGCCACGAGCCTGGGCACCTGCCACAGTCCTCTCCACATTCCCCAGCCCAACTCAGCTAGTGTGGCCACCTCCTTCTAAGTCTAAGCCACCACCACCCATGAAGAGGTAGGCGGAGAATCTAAGAGCTGGCAAATGCCCCCAGACCCTGCACACAATACACAGCACTATGAAGAAAAACAAAGCCTCAGCCAGTTGCCCTGGACTTGACTCTGAAGCATGTGAGTCAGAGTAGGAAGGACTAGCTTCACAGTGTGTTAGAGGCCTGGTTTTCAGAAGCCGATCACTTTCCTTCCAAGGCGCCTCTGGGAATCTCCAACTTCACCGTCTACCCGTCACCATCTATAGCCCAGGACTCCGCACCATGGAGAAGAGTTGGCAAATCTGAACACAGTCTGGGTCAAGCCTGGATGCCCAGCTTCAAGGAGCAGAACCTGTGCAGGGGCAGAGGCAAGGTCCACACCAAGGGTGCTGACCCAACGGAGACAAGGCAACATAGCCAGCCCACAGCTGCGCCTCCCTCCACAGTCACCACCAAAGTTGCGGGGGGCAGGGTAGTTGGGTGTGGTCAGGGCCTGACTGACCAGAGCCATCACAAGACCAGCCTCTGTGGTAATTGTAGGAGCTTTCAGAGGACCCCAAACATGTCATGTACCACTCACATGAGACCTTGGGGCCTGTCAGAGACACCCTACTTCAGAAACCACAGATGAGCCTACCCCCTTTGTGTCCACCCTGCAGCTGGAATCACATTGTCAGTGGTGTCCAAGGCAGTGGTGTCCTCCCAGATCACATTCCACAACACACAACCCAACGACACGCTTTCACAGGCAGATGCCTTCACACGTGTACACATGCATACACTATCACACATATACACACACTCTAAGAAGGACACACTTTCACATGAACACCTTCATGCAGCGACACACACTTCTACACACATACACCCACTCACGTCAACACCCTAACAAGGGCACCTCTCACACATAGCACCTCAGGTGTACACATACACCTCCTCACATGGACACCCTCACATGCATGCATACACATGCTTACCCAAGACCCCTCACGTGGGCACACACACCCAGCCCCGTGGAGCACTTGGTTGGAGCCGGTTTCCCGGAATCCGCTCATCACTCCCGTCCCAAAATGCCTCTCCCTTACAAAATGGCCGAGTTGGGCTCCCGGTGTCCCTGGTCCAGCCAGGGTAGGAAAGGCATGCGCTGGTACCTTCAGGCTGTGCGGCCCAAGCACGGCTGTACATGCACACGCAGGGCATGCACACCCGCGCACAAACGACCGCACGCATCGACACAACGTGCACGCGGATTCGGCGGAGCAGCAGTCTCTGTGGCGGGGGCCTGCCTGGGCTAGGCACTTGGTCTCCACCATGCCAAAGGGTCCAAAACGCAGAGCTAGGGGATGGCGACGGCACACACATGCTCCTCAGCTCTGTGCTGGGGAGGGGGCGTCCAATCAGCACATGGGATCGAGACAGGCAGGTGTCCTAGCCTTGGGGCTGGGGAAATGTTCTGCCCTCTCCCTAGTTCAGCAGGCCAGAAGCTCAACCCAGATGGAGAGTCAGAGGTTTGGGGACATGGAGAAGGGGATCAGGCCCCTCGCCTTACGCCCCCGTTTCCCAGGGCGCCCCTCCCTGCGGGCCCTTTGTTTCGCGCAGCAGCCGTGGGGAGGGGCGTTCAGCTGAGAGGGGGCTGGGGCGCCGCACATCTCCCCGTCCTGCGGGGGAAGGGCTGATGCAACCAGCCTGGCCGCACAGCGTGGGAGGGGACAGGGACCCCACCCCAACCCGTGGCCTGCGAACTCTTGCGGGCAAATCCTTCATCGTCAGACGGTCTCTATCCTAAACCTCCTTCAGTCAGGGCCACAACGCCGACCCGGATCCCCGGCTGTCAAATTCGCGCAGGCGGTCCCCACAAGCTGCGGCAGCTGCGGCGGCACCCAGGTGGCAGGTACCCTGGTAGTCTTCCGTCAGGCGCCGAGCATCTTCGGGACCCCAAACCCCTGGAGTCTCCCCGACTCCAAGGCTCTACCTCTCCCTTGGACCTCGGATCCCCAACCCTCCCGGGACCAGACCTCGTCTCCTACCTCTCACCCTCCCGAGCCCAGAGCCCCCAGCTCCCCACCCCCGCCAGCCCGCAGCTCACACGTAGGCGTGGTAGATGAACGCCCAGCCGCGCGGCCGTTCGAGCACGTTGTAGAGGAAATTCTGCAGTTTGCGGTAGAAGGCGTTGCGTTTGGGGGGCTTTCCAGCGCCCGGTGCGCGCGGCTTGCTCAAAATGCTGCCGCGTTTGGAGGCCTCGGAGCCAGCGATGAGTAGCGCTCCGTCCCGCGTGGAATCGGGGGCGCCGGGGTCCAGCCCCACGAAGCCCACCTTCAGCTTCTTTTCCCCGCTCGGACCGGGGTACACGCCACCGTTGCGCGACTTCTGCACCATGGTGCCCGGCGGCCTGGCGGGCGCGGTCAGCGGGTACGACGCGTGGCGGGTGGCGGGGACCGGCGCCCAGACCCTCC